TCTAAAGGTCGTCATCAGTTGAAATTTTTTTTAATGTTTCGCTAACACGAGTGGCAAGTTTCAATCCACATCCAGCATTGGAGATGGAACGACTACTAAAGAAGCTCGAAATGTTAGGAAGCAACTCCAAATGACGACGGTCTTTAGACCTGAATAAGTACATCACCTATTGGAAAACCTTTACCAATATCCTAGATTTTGAGGGTAGGCCTGAAGTAATGTTCCATTCTTTCATTGGACATTTTAATACTCAGCTAATTCCAGAAAGTCAGATTTTGAGGAGATAGTTGCAAGAATTATCATTACCTATGTAGAACCATGTACCTGTTCATCAATAATACTTATAACAAATTAAGGTCTATATTATCCTTTTCCCTTATAAGATACGAAAAGATTTCGAAGCTTCATTTGGCCGGAAACAGCACAGTATCCCTCAGACCGCTATAAATCAATCCAAATTGTAGCGGTCAACCATTGAATGAAGTTATTGCCTGAACGGAGGGGTAGCGTAGGTGGTCAAATGAAAAGTCGTAGTAATTGGCGTAATAAATTTATGGTATGTAGTTCAATACCTATATTTATTTTGCAATATAAATTACAAACAAGTATTTGGTAATAAGTCCTAATGTGATAGTTATTTACGAATTGTCTCTTAATGAGGTGTGTGTGTGTGTGTATTAATTCATTACTGCTGGGCGTATCTTTTTTGTTTTAAGCAGTTGGATCTAATTAACATTCTGTTTTGTAAATAACGAATAAGTGAACTTTACTTTGATGCGAAGATAATAAAATTTCCTCCGTACTTTTACTGCATGCGGCTAATGTAGCAAGTTTCATGATGGGGAGTTACGAGTGTGGAATACATGTATAAGTAATCCACCAAGTCAACCTACTAAAAATAGCCAAATAACGGAGCGCAAGTTGTCGATTTTCACATCCCAGAATATACACATGCACGCACATAGATTCAGCAGACATTTCTTCTGAATCTCTGCACCCACTTCGTTAAGTTCAACGATGTCTTAGTTTATTGCTTTAAAACATTATTCTTTTGTGTTATTTCCTCATCCAACTTTTCGGTTTATGCGTTCGTGAAAACAAAATTCCTCGACAAAAAACATTTCTTTTAATAAGAAGTCATTTTGATAAAAAAAAATGATCGATTGGCTTGTTCTTATCGGATATTTTATCGATTTATATATGTATTGCTAACTCATAACTAACATAGTGTAGCGAGCACGACCGTGTTTGTGTGCGATCGGGCATACGTGTGTGTGAGCGGCTTATCGATTCGCCGACTAGCCGCAGGCGCCTTTCTTCATGTGCGCCGTATCTGTAAACGTGTGTGTCGTACCAGCGTTCTGGGAAAGTAGTTAAACAGTTCAAAGAAAAAGAAACTTTTCCGGACGGTTCGAGAAGGTTCCCGAACGGAAACAAAAGAGTAGAAATAAATTGACCGTTGCAGAAGTGAATCGAGAAATAAATTGACAATGATAGAATAATTCATAACCTAAGTAGTAATAATTTAATAGTGTTTTTAAGTTCTTTAATAATTAGTGTAAATAAATTGTTTTGTCCATATCAGTCTTAGAAATAATTTTGTTAAACCCACGAACATTACAATATGTAATCCAAGTCCTGATTTTTTATAGATCAACTGACTGGATTTTCCTTGTTTTCTAGTTTTAATACACCTAGATCTAAGTGTAAATTAATATTCTTCGATTTTAATAATGTTAGCCATTTTGACTCCATCCTACTGATTAGTAATCACTTGCAGTGGTGTAAATGACGTCACCGCAAGTTCCGCTTCCGGAGGGGCGCACCACCAAAGCCAAGGTTACCCTCAAGACCCTTAATGAAAATGATAAACGACTTTATACAATTTTTAATACATTTTTTATTGTTAGAAGGGGTGCAAGGAGATTTTCGTGAGGGGCGCCTAAAAATTAGTTGTGTCTACTCTATAGTTTCGTGTCTATTGTCTTTATTCTGACGTGCGTTTCAAATTTCATGAAATACCACCCTCTAAGAGCGATCCAAACCAATCACCAAGTTCCATTCAAAAATTGTATCAATAATTAACCAATGAAACAAATTTTCAAAGAGACGACTGAAATGAAAACAAATGTTTATAAACACACAGTTTTCACTCCCTAAAAGCCTGCAAGATGGCAAATCACCTTTTCGCTAAAAGCTATGGAAATTGTAACAAAAGATTTGGTATTTCCCTAATCAGGATCAAGACCGATCCATTCAAACAAAAGCAGCGGTAATATATGTTGTAACCATTCGTTTTTTAAAAAACTAAACGTATGTTAACACCATCAAGCTATTATTTCTTATTGCTAATTAGATTTCTCAATGTTCTAGTGACAATAATACTTATCCAAATCGGAAAATAGAAATGGGTTTTAAACTGTCGATTTCAAATACGTCATTTAGCGCTTTATCTACGCTTTGCGAATATCGAATGGTTAAAATCACAATAAACAATAAGCAATTAACTGTTATCACGAGTTTGTGTTGCAAACACTCTCTTGTTTGCTAATGCGGCATGACTTTGTTTATGAATGTGTAGCAAATTTCATCGGCTACCTCAATAATATGTTCATTCATTCATTCATTACATGAGTTACATACGCTTTTTGTTAAGAATTCCATGAACGAAAATGATGTATAGTTAAGGAACTTGTAAATGCTATTCTTTGTTCGTATTTCTAGCCTATTATTTCTTCGTGAGCCATCCGACTCCTCAAACAGAGAAAATCGGTGACTTTTCGTAAACAATTTTCATATTAAACTTTGTTGTGTCAATACGGCTTCCATTTTATTTAAAGCTATTACTTCATGGATTATTATCTTTGATATTGTTATCAACAGGACATTCTTGTAGGTTTAGTACTAAAACTACTAAATCAAAATGAAAATTTCAAATTCAAATAAACGTATTGTTCCAAGAAATGAATACTTTATAGTTGCTTCAAATAGTTCAAATTTTTCATTTAGTCTTGGTTTAGTATAAAGACAAACTGCAAGATCTAGACTAACTTTGCTAGGTCTACCTCTACCCCTCCTAACTCCTGTTTCTGCCACTAATATGTCTCTGACTAGACCTTCATGCCTGAGAAGGTGTCCTACCAACCTATCTCGCCTATTTTTTATTGACTTCCATAGNGTCGATTTCAAATACGTCATTTAGCGCTTTATCTACGCTTTGCGAATATCGAATGGTTAAAATCACAATAAACAATAAGCAATTAACTGTTATCACGCGTTTGTGTTGCAAACACTCTCTTGTTTGCTAATGCGGCATGACTTTGTTTATGAATGTGTAGCAAATTTCATCGGCTACCTCAATAATATGTTCATTCATTCATTCATTACATGAGTTACATACGCTTTTTGTTAAGAATTCCATGAACGAAAATGATGTATAGTTAAGGAACTTGTAAATGCTATTCTTTGTTCGTATTTCTAGCCTATTATTTCTTCGTGAGCCATCCGACTCCTCAAACAGAGAAAATCGGTGACTTTTCGTAAACAATTTTCATATTAAACTTTGTTGTGTCAATACGGCTTCCATTTTATTTAAAGCTATCTCTAGGTCCTCCTCGCTAGATGCTCTTTTACAGTAAAAATTTCTGTAGTTTGCTTCCCAGAAAGGGATAGAACACATTCTTTATGCATGATTTTTACAGGAATTTCTTGCACACCATATACAATTAATCTTTTAATTGGTATTGTGCAAATTATCTTCACATTGTTGTTAGTGTGTTTAATATCTATCAAAACCCCTTTATATATCTACCTAAATAAATCGTTTTTCAATGGCTATCAAGAAAAGGTTTCACTCTAACCCTAGAAATTCCTTTCCTATTGGAAACATGCTGGTGACAGCGTTAAAAACAGATTGTCATTTGCGATTTTTATTCAGTACGCCACTGTTTTCCTGTTTTGTTTACCATACATCTTCTTTTACTAGCAGTCAGTCATATTATGGCAATATCTTTCTGCCGACTCAAGCAAACCATTATTACGGGAACTAAAAAGTTCACCAACCTCGGTGGACCTCGGCTGTAGGTACACCTTGATGACATTTTACTATTTAGTTGATACGCACCAGCATAGGCGGCTACAACTACTTAATAAACATGCAAAAATTGCGTAATTTGGCAGATATAAATTTAACAAATAACAAAAATACTGTACCTATCTATAGGGTTGTTCGGAAAGTCATTTCGTTTTTACCCTACAGAGGATTTAATTGTATTCTTTTGCACCCAACTTCACATTTAAGCCGTATAATTTTTATATGCTTTGAGAGCTCATATAGCAAGGCTTGTGTGTGAAAAATTCCAATTAATTCTACGCAGTAGTTTTTGGTTGGTGCCCTTTTAAATATGGAGAGCGATAAGCAGCATTTTCGACATATCTTACTGTTTTACTATTATGTTTCTATCAGAAAGATGGCATAAGGTGTTGGACCAGAACGGTCAATATATAATTTAATAAAGTATTTGTTTATTATACGAAAACTGTCTTTCATTTCCACAAAAGAAAAACGAAATGACTTTCCGAACAACCCTATAAAAGCCTTTTCTATCAGAAACTCACGCCGTCCCGTTACAAACCATCATTCTTTTCGTGGTCTTTTCTTTAAGTACAATAGATTTTATCTCATTAGCATACTTAATGTTATTTTACTTTATTTCACACAGTGGTACGAAAAGTCATTGTTATTGGTTTATAATTGGTAGTAACATTGTTTAGAGATTTATAGGCGCCAATTTTATTCCTTAATTGAACCGCAGATAATTATAAAAGCACTTAAATAAGTCATTACACCAGTACAGCAAGCCAGGCCTTTAGTGTGTTGAACTCTTTCTAAGGTACTTAGCAATTTTTGTATTTTTGAAAAATTTTGTTACCATTTCCACAATGTTCGACGTCATGTAAGTATCTCAATGATGTTTCGAATCTGTATGTTTTATTTTCAGTTAAAACCGATGCGATTTTATTATCGCATTTTCACCCCGATCCGAATCAAAATTATCAAAACTACCTCGAACGGCGAGAAACAGTTGCAAGTCGTATCGGTTAATCAGAATAATCCCAACAGCAATGAGAAACATGAAGGTCTCGACGAGGACCTCAAAACGGATTCCGATGCTGAAATGCAAAACAATATAAACAAAGAAAATTTATTGGCCCAGTTGAATCTGAAAAGCAAAGCCAAAATCGAACAAGAGCAACAGCAGCTAGCGTCGGCCAACTTGAAAAATTTGAGCTTGAAAACAATGAATCCGAAAGGATCCGTTTGTCTTAAAGACGCGATCTCGAAGTCCAAAGATTTGAAAGATTTAAAGAGCGTCAACTTTAAAGAAACTTATTCCGGTGTTACAAATTCCAAAATTACAAAGACTCCTAAAGAAGTCACCCTTAAAGTAGAAACCAAATCATTTATTCCATCAGAGAATAGCGTGAAAATCGACAGATTAAAAAAAATATATGAACCAGATGATATTGACCAGAAACTGTCTAAGCTTTATGAGAACCACAAGGAATCTAAAAAGCTGGACCAAATAAAAAGTCCCAAACACAACAACCATTACGGTAACAAGGATCTCAAACTTATTTACTCAAAAGCTAACTCCGTAGAAACGAAACCCCCTAGGGGTTCCGAGGACAACTGCATATACGAATACGAAGAAAGAGATGAAGACGAGATACGAAAATTCGCAGAGAAACGGGACAGAGAATGGGCTTTACAAAAACAGAAAGACGAAGAGGAAGAGAAGTACCGTTCGAGTAAGAAACGTAAAAAATCCAAGCATTCTAAAAACGATTTCGCACATAAAAAGAGGAAACTCCATGCCGAAATCACCTCCAACGAATCCCTCAACAAGGAAGAACCCCTGAAGCTCAAAGTGAAATTGACCCCCCACAACGGTCACAAACATAAACACCACAAAAACTACCAGAACAATTCGCCATCATCAGAGCCCACCAGTCCCAAGCCATCATCCGAACTCAGCTCAAAGGAGAAACTGCTACAAATGCGTCAAGTACGCCACAAGAACATCACGGCGGAAAAAGACAAACAAAGAGACCAGGATATGATACCTTATGTTTCCGAAAGCAACGTTTCGGACAAATCAACCCAATCAGAGAACAAGGACAAAGATCCCGAACCCAAAGTGACCTTCCACGCCAAACCAACAACAAATCAAGCGATAGACAGAAAAGTATACGGCAATAAGAATATTGTTGCACAAACCAAAACAATGGAAACGAGCGGGACGCAAACGGCCAACAATAACAACAACAACAACAACAATAATAAAATGAAAGATATTCCGGCAGGAACTGGAACCACTACAACTCCTAAAAACGAAACCTTGATCACCGGCAAGACTTTGCGAAGCGACTTTCCCATTAAAACAAATGCAAGCCAAGAATTGAACACCACGAGGTATCCTACGGTGCAATTGGAGCGCCACGAACAAGCTGAAAGGCAAGTTCAAAAGACTTATTTAAAGACGTTCCAGTCTTACACCGAAAAACTCGCCGAAAGCGTTGCTCAGAAGGCCGACATGTCTAAAATGATGTTCCAAAATCGAATCTCACAATCGCAATCGCAATCGTCAACGCACAACAACAAATCACCGTTGGAACGTAAAATTGCCAATTTACATCAACAGTACAGTTCTGAAAATAAACCCAAACAACAACAACCTCCTGGAGGTAAAATATCCGTTCCGGAAAAACCTCAGACCCTCCTCAATTCCCAATACCAGACGGGCTTTACTGTTAGCAAAATCGAAGCTGGAACCAAGAGGAAACTAGAAACAGTCCATGACGAACAAGACAAACGTCCCAGCCTGGAAATAACTCTCATAAATCCACCTGTCACGAACAATTCACCTTCGCAAATGCAAAAGTCCAAATCCACGACGACAGAAGCGAAACCCGGCATGAAACGGCCACCACCGGCAACGATACCATTGGAAAGGATTAAAAAATCGAGTAACCTAAAATCAGGCATAAGCATCATCCCGAAAATCCCCGAAAGCCAGGGTCCTTTAGATCTGTCCAGTTCCTGCAAACACCCGGATACGTTCCTAAACAGGCCAAACGGAAGTACAGGGTCATCCGCAAGTCCAAAAGTCCAACAACCCACCAGCAGTCCCAAGAACACAACTGTAGCACAGGAACGAGTCAAAACATCAACGTCTGATAAAAATATTCAACTGTCAAACTTGCAAATGTTATCCAAAGTAGCTTTGGAACATTCGAACATTAACAAGAGCCCGGTTCCGACTCTTCTGAATATAAGTAAGAAACCCCCGATGCCGACGCTTCAGACCATCAGAATACCCATGCCCAACCAGCAAAACATGACGGCGACGAAATCACCCAACCTGGCCAGGCTGCCAAAGCTGACCGAAATAAACAAGAGCACGTTCCGAATGATGAGTCCCCAGATGAGGAACATGCGTCCCAATCAAAACCAGAACATCAGGAGCATTCCGAATCCCAGTTTGTTGGTGAGACAGCAAAATCAGAATCGACTGAATTCGATGAGTTCCGCCCAGATTGGAAACGGCGACGGCGTCGAGGACGGTAGCAAAACAAACGCCACCGAAAACAACAAAATCACGGACCAAAACGAAAAAAAGAACGACGACGAGAAGAAAGAAAAGGAACAAAAGTCTGACAATAGCGAAAAAAAAGATAACAATAGCGAAACAAATGCACCTAAAGTCGACGATAGCAATAAAGCGACCAGTTAACATACAAACGACCGTGCAGGTTAAACGTTTTTACACTTCTACGCGTTTGTTTTCCTTTTTTTTTGTTATTACTTACTTAGGTGTTTTTTCAGTTTTGTAATCTCTTAATCACCTGATTAAATCGTGCAAATAATGTTTGCTGTTAATGTGATATAGGTACAAGTATACATACATACATGCCTATTTTAATTGTACATATCCGTTTTTCGTTTTAATCTAAATCACACGATAATAAGAACGCAAGTCACTCCCAATACGAGACTGTTTAATTTTATTCCAATAGCTGAAAATCGGTGGTAAACTGTTTATTATCTATCTATCTATCTATTTACCCCTTGTAGCACACGGGGTGTAGATAGCTAATAAAAGTGAAAGAATTTTTTTGTCTCCTACTTTTTTCTGTTTCTATAATCTGCAAATAGAGATGTTGTAATCGTAATTTTATCCACTTAACATTGTAAATACGATGAATTACATAAAGATATATGTATATATCTAAATAATACTTACATAAATACACAAGGTGATTCGCCACAGATCTGCTAGATAACGGGGTAAAGGTCTAGATGATGGAATCGAAAGGGGAGGTCTCTCCCAACACTGTACCATAAAAAGTTAGGGGGTTAGATGATGGCCCCCAACCCCCGAAGGGGGTGGGGGTAGGGGGGATTGAAAGAGGGTGATCACCTGAGTAAAACCCTATAAAAAAATTGCGGCGGTCTCACCCCCATAAAAAGTTATGGGGGTTGAAAGTTGATTATTATTACAATTTTCATACACTATAATTCAAATAAAATTCAATAAAATAATTATTTTCAAGCGGGTGGAGGTGGGGGATCGAAAGAGGGTGGTCACTTGAACAAAACCCGATAACCTAACCTAACCTA